GAATTATTGATTCAATGTCTGAAACTGAATTCCTTACCTTTTCCCTCAGCCAGGTGTCTCCTTCTAGGCGGAAGGCATCATCTTTCTAATCCCCTAGGCTCAAAACTCAGAGTCACCTAAGATTCCTCTTCCCTCAGTCCCACCATCCCAGGAGTTGTCTTGTGCTAATGACTTACCCTTTCAAAGTTTCTAAGATCTGTTCCCTCCTTTAATGCCATTGTTACTGGGGCCTAAGTGAAAGTACACAAGTTTCAGAGTAAGATGAGCTTCGTGCTAATCGCACTACTTTTTGGAAGTTCAGTACGTTTATGAGCCCTTGGTTTCTTCTTTATAATAGAGATCCACCACCCACCTTCTGAACCGTTTTGGCAGAATTACTCATGTTAGGAACATGGCAGGTGTTCACCGAATGATAGTTGTTTTCTTCTTTACTCTTTGTCTGTCACCCCTGCAGCACTCTCGTGCTCTCTCTCTTCTGCACAGCTGTCACTATGGCACACAGGATGAAGGCCCAAATCCTTCACCTTGGCCTTCTGCGGTCCTTTCTTCAACACGTGCACACTCACACCTGTGCTCTGTCTACCTCACGACATTCATCTTTTTCCTCAATACGCCGTTTTTTTTGACTCCTGGCCTAAGCTGAAGCCATTTCACTTATCTACAGAGCCTTCCCCACCCAGAGAAGTTGTACCTGTTCACCAGCACCAGCTCAAATGCCCTCTTCCTGCTCAGAGTCCGCCGCCCCCGTGCTTTAGGATGGAATGCACCTTCCCCTTTCTGTATCCACCATGTCTTACGCTATAAGATTTACTCAGCACCCTGCCCTGAGTCACAGTTAGGTGTGGGCCTGCCTCCCCTGTGGGACTTATATTGAGGTAGGTTGGGTTTCTTTCGGCTACCTGATGCTCAGTTGAACTACACTGAATAGAGTCCCTCCCAAGCCCTTTTCCTAACTTAACCCAAACCTGCCGCAACCCCAATTCCCCAACTGACACTCTTTTATCTTGCTAGTCTTGTTCCCTCGTCCCGTTTTTCTAACTGAACCCCAATGCATCATCCTTCACTGAGAACCGATTCCTCCTTCCAGCTCTCGAGAGCAGATACACTCACGCCTCCCCAGTGTTTCACGGGAGGCACTGAGTCATCCCTTGGGGACCCCTGGGCCTCCCTCCCTGCCCCCATCACAGTGGACAGGATGCCTGCTGCCTGGCCCCAGGGGGTCAGAGGAAGCCAAGGCCTCTAGGGCTCAGTATTTTTATCAACCTAGGAAGCAAGAGACACAGAAGCGGAAACCCTGTGGTCAGAGAAAGTGAACAGCCCTCATCTCAGGGGAACCCCCAACAGGGCCGGGGGCCAGACACCAGGGAGGGACGTTGAAAAGAAGGAGGTCTGGGGGGCCAGGTATCAGGGCTTATCTTGCTTTGGTTTTATGTAATCTGGCAGAAGGGAAATGACTTGAAAACCAGAGAAAAATCTCCTGGAAGAGCAAATTCGGACACCAGAAGTTTCTATTGCTTACCTGTCAAGCCCCAGCTTCGGGATCCTAACCCCAACTCCCCCCGACAACAAACATGGGCTCTTTGCATGCCACTTCCGAAACCTCCGGCCTGTGAGAGGAACCGGACGCCTGGGTTGCTCACAGCTCGCCGGCTCTTCTCTGAATCACAGCAGCTTCCTCTCACAGGACCTTTCTCACCAGCCCTTCCTCCTCCTGCCCCATGAACAGTTGCCTGGTCCCTGCGAGGCCTTGGGTCTCTGAGCTGTCTTCTCCCAGGGTCTTGCGCCCACCCCGTGTGCCCCTGCTTCCACGGGCTTCCCCTCCACCTCCACGCCCGGGACTCTCCCGAGTACATGGGGCCTCCAGATCTGAAAAATAGGTTTCTGACCCATAAGATTCTCTGCGGTAGACCTGTGCAGACTGTACGCGCCAGCGCATGCCTGTACCGTCTCTTCCTTTCACGGAGTTCCCTGTTGTGTCCTGGGGAATGGAACTGGGCTTTGGTACTGTCAACAGCTTCCTCTCCCTCCAACCCCCAGGACCTTTCTCTCAACTTCAGGAAAAGATACCTATCCGGAAAGCCAAGCCTGGACTGCCCAGAGATGAAGCCCGGGTCTGGGGTGGGGGCAGAAGCTGGGTAGAGAGGAGGATTGGGGCCCTGGAGGTAGGGAGATGGACTGAGGAGCTAGAGGGGAGATAGCCTTGGGTGTGGATCCCTGGTTGCCCAAGAGCAGACAACCCAGGTTACATAATTTGGCTCTTTCCACCTCCCTCCCCGGCTCCTAATTTTAGCAACCGAAATTCCACTCCCCCACAGGGCTCTTCCTCTGTCCGTTCTGCTTCTATCCCGTCCTCCCACAATCTCCTCATGGCCCCCAGCTCCAGCTGCCCCCAACTCAGAACGTTCAGTGACTCAGCAAAGGGAAAGCCCTGTGCCGGGGGAAGGGGGTGTTAAGTGGGGAGGAGGATGTGGTTCTGCCCCGGGGAACTGGGGAGAGGAGGGAAACTGGTTTTGTTCCCTTTTTTGCCTCTGTTCACATCTATTTCTCCAGTCACTGCCTGCAGAGTAGAGGAGCCCAGCGCAGGGAGGGGAGTGAGACTGGGGGGCAACACGGGTCTTCTCCGGGCTGCCCAGGTATGGGGGTGGGCAAGCAGGGCCTTCCTGCCTCCAGCTGAGAGCGCGGCTCAGTGTGTGCGTGCGTGTTGCAGGTGTGTAGGAGCTGCGGGTTTTGGCAGGCGGGGTGGGAAAGGAGATGTCACGTATGATGAAAACCACAGCAATGGAAAAAGGCAGAGGAGACGCTGGGAGTGAGATGTGGAACCAGGTCTTATTAGGAAATGGAGGAGTCAAGGAGCAGTGGCGGTGGCCCATATCCTCCCCACCCCCACTCGTTACAAGTTTCACTCCCACCCCATATCCTTCGCGCGCGGGGCAGCATCAGCCTCTTCCTCGTCACCCCCGCCCTGACCTGCCCCTTACTACTGCCCTGCCTCTAAGGCTGCACTCCCTGCAGTTTCTCACTCTTTCCCTGGGGTCACTTGAGGGCCTCCGCGTGGCGATTCAGGGCTTGAGAAAGGGCCGTCACAGCTCCCATCACGCGGCCCAGCTCCCAGGTCTCAATCTGGCTTCGGAATCGCTGCAGGAAGCGGTCAGGGTGCCAGCGGACCTGCTGGACCCTCAAGTACCTCCTCAGAGCCCCCTGCTCCTCCAAGGGGGGGCCCCTGGCCACCAGGGCTGCAGCCATGGCCTCTGGGTCCCCTCCCCCAGGGCAGGGCCAGGGCACATCGCCAAAGCGCCAGAGGCTGCCCCTCCCTGCTCCTCTTGGGTGCTCTGCCCTGGGCCCAGCCCTGGCCGGCTCTGGCCCTCGGTCCCCACGAGCCTCCTGTGCCCTCTTGGCTCGGCTCTCACGCAGTTCTTCCTCCTTGGCCCGGGCTCGCTCTCGGAAGAGCCGCTGCTCCTCCTCCTGCTGTCGCCAGTCGTGACCGGAGCCCTCAGCCCGTGGGGGTCGGCGGGCTCCCTCTGCCTCGTGCTGCTGCTGCTTCTGGGCATGTTCCCGGGCCAGGCGATCTGACCAGGCTGAGAAGGACTCGGGTTCCTGGGTCTCATGGGAAGCATCATCTGTTTGGGAGGGCAGGATGGGGGTGGTCGGGGAGATGCTGTGAAAAGGTGACAGGCAAGAGCGGCAGGGAGGTTCAGAGAATGGGGGCACAGGAAGCCAGTGGGAGCACCCATGCGGTGGGTACAGGAAAAGCAGTCAAGGGGAAGAAGGGCAGCTATGGATGGGAACGGATTCCTTACCTTCAAACCTCCCGATGACCTCCTGCCACTCATCCTCCAGTTCTCCCTGCAGCTTCTGCCTCCATTCCCGCTCCTTAGAGGCCTCGTCTTCCTCCTCTTCTTCAGCAGAATCCCAGGGAGGTCCCCAGCCCAGAATTTGCCCAGGGGTCTCCCCATCCTTATTCTTTATTCCCATAGCAGACGGGCAGCGGCTCAGCAGTGGCAGGAAGAAGTCCGTGTAGGCTGTTGGTGGGAGAGCAGTGAGCAGAAATTAGCTGGGACTCCCACTCCTTGGCAGGCTGCCATCTTGAATCCTGCTGGTCACTCCCTCCCTTGGTCTTAGAGCAACGGAAAGGGTTGCCCACATGGAAGTCTCCTGGGCATTAGGAAATCACGGTCACCGACAAATATCTACTGCTAGTTTACCACATGCGTGATAAGTGTGGTAGTTTACAATATTATGACCTATGTTCCCACAAACTGTTTCAGCGTCCTGGGAGTTCTGCTATGTTAAATGACATTTTCTAGTCTGCGTCCAGCCACCTTGGGCAATGTCAAAAACCTCTAACTATGTACTTCGTTTTTAGTTTGAAAATACTGTCACTTTATAACCCTTACTGTGTTTCTCATCCAAAACTGATTCAGACTGGTTAAATACCTGTATGTTTTACTCTGTACCATTATAGATATACAAATAAATAAGAGGTGCCTTTGTACATGGCTTTTTTTTTTTTTAAGTATTTACCCATTTTGACAAAGACAGAGACAGCGTGATTGGGGGAGGGGTAGAGAGAGAGGGAGAGAGAGAGAATCCCAAGCAGGCGCCACACTGTTAGTGCAGAGCCTGATGTGGGACTCCATCTCATGAAACCATGAGATCATGCCCCGAGCCCAAACCGAGAGAAGGATGTCTAACTGACCCGAGCCATTCAGGAGGCCCTTACAATGCTTTTCAATGAACTGAGTAAAATAAGTGTTTTCAGGGGAATTTCTCTCAGCCAACCTCATATGGGGCATACTGGAAGGGGGATTGGGAAGTAAAGGGAAATGTTCCCAGGAACAGAGCAAGGTTGTTCCAAATGACTGCTGACCTAGGGCAGGGGAAAAGGGCTGACATAGAGGGTCCCAGCCAGGGGCTGGCTGACAGGAGGCTGGGGGTGAACAGCAGAGGGACTGACATTCCTGAACCCCCCTCTTCCTGAGCCCCCACTGCATCCACTCTAGCATCAGCAGAAGGCCATGCTGCTCACTTCACTACCAACCCAGCCCTCTACCCCTGGTCAAGCCCACCCACCATGGCCACCAAGCACCTCTTCACTCCGGGGACAGAGGCAGGTGAGTGAAGTACCCTCCCTTCCTATGGACCTACTTTCTCTCCCTAGGGCAGGAGGAAATGGGCCGGCAGTCCTTAAATCCTTATTTTGTGGTGCTGGGAAGTACTGGCCACCTGACAAAAGGATGGGACAAGGGAAGGATTGTCCTGTCACTGCCAGGAAGGCAGGAAGACAGAATGGGCCAACCTGGGCTGGCCAAGGCCCATCACCCCCCACCCATCACCTCTTGGTGCATCTCTGAGCGCCGCCCAGCCCAAACCATGTCAGGATGAGGGAAGGGGGTACTTATTACTGATGTGACTGGTCACAAGCCCTCCCAACTTGTCCCCTCCAGCAAATACCTGGTCCTGTCTTTCAACTGTTTATTCCCCATTAGGGTTCACAGCCGCGGGAGGGTGGGTGGGTGCTCAGACTCCCATAGGAGGTTTTAAAATTCATAGATTTTAAGGAGTAAGGCCTCCAACTAAAAAACAGGGCAAGTAAAATATGGTACAGCATATTAAATAGCCACTAAAAATGATGCCTGTGTGAGGAAAAAACTGGCTATAAAACCATACATGGGATCCAGTCACAACCATGTGAAAAAAAGAGGCCAAATCTTATGGTTAAAAAAAATAACTAGAAGGAAATGTGTAAAAATTCTGGTCTCTGTGTGGTAGGACTATGGGTAAATATTTTAATGTAAACAGGATACAACTGATGTGAAAAAATTTTTCTCTTTTTAAAGAGTGAAGAATAAATTTAATCACTGTTAACAGTTTGCTGTGGTCCCTTCCAGTCCTGTCTTGGTGTGTGTAAATGCATATATGGGCGTCTTTTTTTCAGAGGTATGTGACCATGCTATTTCTATTGTTTGGCAACTTGCTTTTTTCACTTAACGTCTCATTTGTATTTTTCCACAAGAGTATACACAGCCTACCTCATTCTTTTTTATGACTGTGTAGTGTTCCGCTATGCGTATGAAACAAACATCTCCCACCCCCAGTCAACAGACTTTGTTTCCAAAAATGTTCAGCCTCCTACATATATCTCTGTGGACAAGGAGTGGGGTAGATTCTCGGAAGTGGAATTTCTGAGTCAAAGAATGTGCGATTTTACTGAATTGCTCTCAAATTTGTGCCAACATACGCCCTGATACAGAATATGAGTGCCTGTGTTGTCCTTTACTAAAGTTGAGTATCACCAACCCACCCTTTTAATTTTGCTCATCTGACAGAGGAAAAGATTTCATTGTTTTTTTTTCCTTTTTTAATGTGTTTTGGCCCACTCTTTCTTCCTTTCTCTTTCTTTCTTTCCTTGTGTCCTTCTTTTTTAAAAGATTTTGTTTTTCAGTAATCTCTACACCCAACATTGGCTTGAACTCATGACCCTGAGATCAGGAGTCACAATCTCTACCAAGTGAGCCCGTCAGATGCCCCTGGCTCTTTATCTCTTTTGTGAATGACTTGTTCATGTTCTTCATCTACTTTTCCCCTGGAAATTATACATGTAGACATGAGAGCTCTTTATACTTTGTAGTACACTTTGTATACGTTTATACCTTGTGCCAAGTATTTGTAAATATTTTCTCCCATCCTTAGAAAGGTTTTATGCAGTTAAATATGTATCAATATTTTCTCTCCTTGCTTTTGGCTTTACGTCATCCTTAGATAGGCTTTCCCCACTCTAAGATTATAAAAATATTCTCTAGTGTTTTTTTTCTACTAATTTTTATTTTTAGAAATCCAAACAAATTTAAAAAGTATAGTACAATAAGCGCCCCCACTCCTCCCACAAGGTATGTTACTGTTCTGTCATTTTTGCAACATTATTTTGTATTAAAGAAATAAAGTATCAGAGGTAAAGTTAAAGCTTTCTCTAATATTGCCTTCTGAATATTATTCCCCATCTGCCCCTCACCGCCAAAGGAAATGTCTCCTGTGAATTTGCTACATACCCTTCCTGTCATGTTAAGATATTTAAGCTGCTGTAATTTATTTATTTTAATTTTAGAGAGAGAAAGAGAGCGTGTGGACAAGCGGGGAAAGGGGCAGGGAGAGGACAGAGTTTTAAGCAGGCTTCATGCTGGTCGTGGAGCCTGACATGGGTTTCAATCCCACAACCCTGGGATCACGACCTGAGCCGAAATCAAGAGGTGGATGCTCAACTGCTTGAGCCACTCGGTGCCCCCGTTATTGATTGATTGATGGATTGATTATTTTTGAGAGAGCAAGCACGAGAGAGTGTGAGCGTGTGCACGCACAAGTCGGGGAGGGGCAGAGAGAGAAGGGGCAGAATCTGAAGCATGTTCTGTGCTGCCAGTGCAAACCCTGATGTGGGGCTTGAACCCACCAACCATGAGATCATGACATGACTTGAAGTCGGATGCTCAACTGACTGAGCCACTGAGGCGGGCCTCTGGTAATATACTTTTGAGTCAGGGGTGAGGTAGGAGTCCTTTCCTTAGATGAACCAAATACTCCAAAATTGTTTCTTAAATAGCTCACCACCCACCAGTGATTTGAAATGCCACTTTCATCATCAATTTAGCAGTGCAAATCGACTTCCCAGGGTTCTTTAATATGTTGTACTTTAATTTTGAGAAAAATCTAGATGAAAAAAAATTTTGAAGTAAAAACACGCTCTGTGTCTTAGTGGTGGAAGCACTGTTCTTCCCTTCCCCATAACGAGGCATGATTTCTATTTTAACATCACGTTCACACTCACTGGTCCAACACACTTGTATTTGGGGAGCCTAGGTGGCTCAGTCGGTTAAGCATCCAACTTCGGCTCAGGTCATGATTTCACTGTTTGTGAGTTCGAGCCCTGCATCGGGCTCTGTGCTGACAGCTCAGAGCCGGCAGCCTGCTTCGGATTCTGTGTCTCCCTCTCTCTCTGACCCTCCCCAGCTCATGCTCTGTCTCTCTCTGTCTCAAAGATAAATAAAAACATTAAAAAAAACCACACCAATATTGTAAGTTTATACTGAGTGATGGTTGATAGAGGCACAGAGGAAGAAAAGGTAAAAGTGGGTAGGGTGGGGACACCCGGGTAGCTCAGTTAGTTAAGTGGCCAACTCTTGATTTTGGCTGAGGTCATGACCTCACCATCCGTGAGCTTGACCCCACATAGGGCTCTGTGCTGACAGTGTGGAGCCTGTTTGCTGTTCTCTCTTCCCCTCTAGTTCTCTTTGTCTCCCCCACTTATTCTCTCTTTGTCTCAAAACAAACAAACAATTACAAAAACAAAAAGTGGGCAGGGTGGTCTGAGAGGGCTCCAAAAAGGAGGTGGGGCTTATGTCGGGCTGGAAAGGGAGGATAACTTAGCAAAGTGGAAATCAGGTGGATGGGAAGGCAGTCTTGTGAAAACATGCCTGGGGTCACTGAAGACAGAGCTGGGTAGCTGGAGTTGCAGGTTTGTGGTTGTGCCATGGTAGGTAAGGCTGAAAGGCAAATGGAACATAAACCAGATGGCTCAGCTATCTGCAAAACGGGCCACCGCTTACACCTACTGTGTAGGTCAAAGTGAGTAATAGGTGGGCGATGTCAGGTACTGTGCTGGCACACAACAGAAGTACAGTAAATGTTACATTAAAAACACACACACACAAAGAAAACAGGCTGGCTTTGGACTTGATTGTTTTCGCAAAGACCGTTTCTTAGTGTCCACTAATTCTTGTTGTACACAGAGAATGGTTATTGTCTGACTAAGGTGTGTTTATACGGGGGTCTTTGGCAGCTAAGACCACTTCCCCATGAGGTGATGGGTCCCAAAAAGAAGTTACCAAAAGCCATTCACTGGCTTCTCATCGGTTGTGACCGCGCAGCCAGACAATCCAGCATGAACTGCCTCATCTCTCACCTAATGTGGGAATGGGAGAAAACCTCCCCTCCTCAGGGGATCCTGGGTCATTTCATCTGGTCAAAGGAAATATTTGCATTTTAAGACAGAATGGTCTCTAGAGCAGCTCAAAGCTGAATGAGACGGGCCATTTTACCAAAGAGCCAGAAGGCCACCTGGTGGCTGGACCGTCAGGGGAACAGGAGGAAGTAAGGCCCGAGAGGACACCACAGCTTGGGAATGACCTGAGAGCAGGTCCCCCTTAGGAAAGACAACAACCTGTCAGTTATGAGATTTCAAAAAGTTCCTGAACTTTCTGGGCCCTGCTTTCCTCATCTGTAATGAGATAAGAGTGTCAATCTCATATGCTTCTTAGATGTCAATACGACGAAGGAAAATCCTGCCACGCTAGGAGGTAGTTTTGTTACTCAAAAAGCCATAATTGGAAAATATGAGAATAAAAATAACAATACTTCTCATCTAGTGAGCGCCAAATCTGCCAAGTACTTGCCTCATTTACTTGTCACAGCTTTCATTTTAGAGAAGCAAGTTAAAATATAAATAATAATAATAATAATAATGATAAAAAAGGCAAATTAGGGTCACGGAAGTTAAGTTGCATGTTCCTGTTACACAGCCGGTAAGGGGTAGAGGCTGAACTTGGAGGAGGTCTGGGATCTGCCACAGGGTCCTCTGCTCTCTTGCCTTGTATAACGTGAGCTGTCAAATTAGATGCCTGCATTTTGCACACCTGCTCTTTTTGTTTTTAACAAAAAATCTGAATATGCCAGCCTATCTCATTATGTTAAGGGGAATTAAAGGGGTTTTTTTAATTTACCATATGGGGAGAAGTTTTTGGGGTGAGAGGTTTCTGTTGGGGAGCTGGAGGATGGTAATAGCAATCAAACTGAGTTAAGGTTGTTCATTCCAACCCAGATTTTCCTCCAACGTTCTCACTAGGAAAATCTCTAGAGGGTTTTATTTTTCTAAGGGCTATTATCTCTACTGAGCTGCCTCCGCTGTCAATAGGTCCCCACCTGAAACCCTCAGTGTCAAAGGTTTCTCAGAACTCAGATGTTTTTGGGACTTGGTAGGGCTGACCTGAAAGTACATACATCGTATCTTAGGTAGCCGAGGAGGGCCTGGGTAGCTCCGGTAACCAAACACGTGAAATGTTTCTGCAGCGAAACGCCATCAGTAGGATAAAAATGAATGATAGATAGTCTCCCTTTAGTTCAGGTTAGGTTTTCTCTCCAAGCGAGTCTGGTGGCTGACTGATGCAAAATGTTTGGCTCTTAGTGTTTTGAGTTGCAGAACTGAGGCTAAGGGAGTATGGATCTGCTGATAACGGAAACGACGTCCAGCATCTACTGCATGTTAATCACAGGCCGGGTGCTCTAATTGCATATGGTGTCAGTTCATTCTCAAAACATACGTGACAGCATGGGTGCTTTGAACATGGGCACTATCATTGTATAATTCTGTAATGTATCACACAGGATAACACAGTCGTTACAGAGTACAGAGGGTCTAGCTAGGCTGCCTGGGTTATAATCCCTGCTCTACCACTTTGTCGCTGGGGGACTTTGGCAAGTTATTTTACTTCTCTGTGCTGTTTTCTCATCTGAGAAATAGGGGATAATATTAATTCTTATAGTTTCATAGGGTTGTTGGGAGGACTAGATGAGTGGTTTTGTGAGAAGTACTGGAATATAACAAGAGTTATTTAACTCTTTGCACGCGGGCAAACTAAGCCTCAGGGAAGTTTAGGAAGTTGCCCAAGAATACTCAGCTGTTAAATGTGGAGCTGGGATTTGAACCTAGGCAATCTAACTGCAGAACCTACCCTCTATCCTACTTTTTGTACTGCAGGCAAACAACCAGTCAAGACACACAGTAGCTACTAATGTAGAAAGATGTGAAAATTGAAGTTGTTGTTTCGAGAATGCTGGGCTCTTCAGAGAATGAATGGTAGCTCAGTAACCTAAAGGCACAAATGACTGCCACATGCCAACGTGGACAGCTACTTTCCTCTGCATCGCTAGCTTATTTTTCATTTGTTGGCCTTCATCTCCTTCCCGTTTAGTTAGTCGCTCATGACCTTGTTCCCCACCAGGCAAACTCACCATCAGGGCCCTGGCGGGCAGCAGCGTGCAGCGCCGTGTCCCCGTGGCGGTCCTGGTGGGCAGGGTCAGCCCCAAGCCGAAGAAGCAGGCACAGGGCAGGGGCATCGTGCCGGGCACAGGCCCGGTGCAGTGGTGGGGGTTGCCCAGCGTCTACGTCAAGGCCCGGGTGTCTCTGGAGGAGGGCTTGGGCCCGGACCAGCCGTCCTGCAGACAAGTAACGACGGAAGCGACGCTCTCGGCGTTGGCGGCGGGAAGTGGAGGCCATGGAAGTCTTGGGCTGAGGAAGAAGGAGAAAAAGGCAGCAGTCAGGGCCCCAGCCTTGCCTGGTCCCTCCCCCACCATCCCTGACATTCCATCTTGTTCCTCCCTTTGGTTCTCCTTCTTTTTGCATCTTCAGGAACAGATGAGGCCTATCCTAACGCTCATCCCTTAACCAGATGATAGGTTTGAAAACAATTTTGAAGTGGGCTTGGGTCACAGACATTTTTAATGTAAAATTTGAGAAAAGGATAAATAATTGCTTTTGAGGCTCACTAGCCCAGGTAAGTTTTAATACGGGGCTTTGAAAAAGACAAATAAAGAATGATGGGGGACATTTTAATCAACAGAAATCTGAATTTAAAAGTCACAGATAATTTCAAATAATGATCTAGAAATTGAATATAATCTACCCGGCAGACAGATGTGGAGGCTTCTCCCTCTGGGACCTGGGGGGAGGGGTTACTCATCAGACCTGCCCCCCGCCCCCCTAAGTACCCCCAGAGCTGTAGGCCCGAGGCCTGTGTTTAAGACGCTCGGAAGAAGGGAGGCGGGAAGGGCGGAGACACTGTAGGCTGGCGGAAATGGCGCACGCCGAGACGCAGGTAAAGGGCGGAAACGCACTTGGAAGGCACGTTACCGGATGTCCTCTCTCTCCAAGGGGAAAGGCGGGGGGGGGGGGGGGGGGCTGCCCCCTCAGTCTGGCCTCGGGGGGAAACTAGGGGAACTTAAGGTAAAGGGTCCGTCTGAAACCGTAAGACTGGACGGTAGACGCGAAAAAGGAGCCGAGCAAGGGAGGGTAAAAACGGTGATTTAGAGATTTAGCTTCCCCTCCCCCAACAGGGAAGAGAGAAGAGATGGTTCAGAGATAGATAAGAGAGAAAAAACAGGGGAGATGAAGAGGATTAAAAATCATGGTGAAAATGGAAAACCAAAACTAAAACCACGGTGAGGCCAAGAACTGGGACAAATCAAAAAAGACATGTGTGAAAGACATTGAAAAAAAAAAAGTGGGGCGCCTGGGTGGCTTGGTCGCTTGAGCGTCCGACTTCGGCTCAGGTCATGATCCCACAGCTCGTGAGTTTGAGCCCCACGTCGGGCTCTGTGCCAACAGCTCAGAGCCTGGAGCCTGCTTCGGATTCTGGGTCTCTGGCTCTCTCTACCCCTCCTCCACTCATGCTCTGTCTCAGTCTCAAAAATAAATAAACATTAAAACAAAATTAAAAAGAGTAGGACAAGGCAAACTAAAATTTGGACTTGGGAAAGATACAGAAAAAGAGATAGAAAGGGGAGGTAGAAAAAAAAAGAGAGGAAGAGAAGTAGGAAGAATTCAGAAACCCAGCATACTCTTTTCCCAATTAACGACACATGTTGACTTCCTTTCCCTCTCACCCCATTTTCAAGCCCTCTATGCCTCCTGTTCATTCCTCTTTGCCCCTGTCCCGGTTGCTAGACATCGACCCGGAAAACCCTGCACCTGCGGTGATGCTAGCGAGCAGCTCTGGGCCTGGTCTCTGCTGCCCCCAGGTGGTCCTTCTGGGTACTGCCCGTGGGAGAGGTGGGAGAAGAGACCAGCCATCAGTTGGAGGATCAGTTTGGGGGAGACACCTGGTGCAGCAGGCTTAGCGGAAAAGGGGAGCACTAAGACCCAGGGACAGTGGAGAATTGCAGCGAGAAGCTGGTGGAAGAGGAGTAGGTGGTGTGTATGTGTGTTGGGGGTTGGGGGAGCCTTCTGGTACCTTGGTAGCATCCGAAACAGCATCAGCCATAACGACAGAAATGGCCAGTCAGTCTCAGGGTATCCAGCAGCTCCTGCAAGCTGAGAAGCGGGCGGCTGAGAAGGTGGCAGATGCCAGAAAGAGTGAGTTCCCTTTTCTCTCCCTTAGGAGTCTGGAAAGAAAATTGGGGTGCGGGGGGGACAGCAAACATTTGAGTCCCTGGGAAAATCCAAGGCCGGGGTGGGGTGGGGGAGAAAGCTGGGGCTGGGCTGGCTGATTAGGAGGCTGATTAGGAGGGTGATTAGCGGGGTGGGTGTTAGAATCTAGCACTGGTCGGCTGAGAGATGGCAGCAAAACTTTCTGGAAAGGAATGACCGCTACTATCACATTTTGTGAGGGGGTCTACTCCCACCCCCAATCCCTTCTTCTGCTTCCAGGGAAGGCCCGGCGTCTGAAGCAGGCAAAGGAGGAGGCCCAGATGGAGGTGGAGCATTACCGTCGAGAGCGAGAGCAGGAATTCCAGAGCAAGCAGCAGGCGGTGCGTTGTGGGAGAGTTGAAATGGGATCCTGGGGTGCAAGTTGGTGGGTGCATCTGATGAGGTGTGTATGGGGTGACCCTAGAAGAAAACAAGATGGTAAAGGGCTGAAGGGGACCCTTGGCAGGGACCACGTTATTGTTCAAGGTATGTGAGATGTATGAGAATCTGAGAGTTTTGAAAGACTTGGATGGCTTGTGGGGCGGGGGGGGGGGGGGCTTGCCACTGTCTGTGTGGAGTACGATGTCATTTGGGGTGGAAGGCAAAGTTTTATGGTCACGTGTGGTGAGGTAGTGGGGGTTTTCCAGTTGTTTTAGGATGAAGTTGCATGTCAAATCTCAAAGGAAAGGGAATTGTGTTGCTTTCTTTGGTGTCTGGATATTTCCATGGGATGGGGGTGGTTTTGGCAAGGGCTTTTCTTCCTAGCCTTGCTCCAGGACTTTTTCCTCCACATACCTGTACCCTTCTTTCTGTGTTTCTGCTTTTGCCTTTCTGTCTTCTGCCCCTTTCCCGATCCCCCAGGCCATGGGCTCCCAGGGGAACCTCTCAGCTGAGGTGGAGCAGGCTACGAGACGCCAGGTACAGGGCATGCAGAGCTCCCAGCAGAGAAACCGTGAACGCGTCCTGGCCCAACTTCTTGGCATGGTCTGTGACGTCAGGCCCCAGGTCCACCCCAACTACCGGATTGCTGCCTAGAATTCACCATAGGACCTGACTGTTCCCTTCCAGTTCCCTTCCTCAAAGAAACCCCCCAAACAAAATTACCACCTGCCATCTTCACTGCTTCTTTCCTATTTTCTCTCCTTTCCATTCCCTAGAAATTCTAGGGGCAAGATCCAATAACTCTGTGAAAAGTACCCTGCTCAGATCTGAGTCTCCTTACTGTTCTTTAACCTTCACTGGGACCTTGTAAACTCCCAAGTCACTCTCACCGAAACCCTCTGTGAAATTTGTAGCATGGATAAGTAGGGATGTGGAAAAAACACTTTGACTTCAGAGCCTGGAAGCCTTGGGTTCCTTTCCCAACCCTGCCACTTTCTGGCTGTGCACCTAGGACAGCTACTTAATCTGTAGTCCAGTGTCCTCCTTTGCAAGACTGGCATGATGCTGATGGTGATAATAACAGTAATACCTACCTTACGGGACTGCTGCAATGATTAGGAATCACTCTGTAAAGAGCCTAGCATGGTTTTTGGCATGTAGTTGCTGTGATTCCATAAATGTCCGCCCTATGATATTATTACCACCCGTTGCCCACCGTCAAAACCAAAACACAACTGTTTCCTCACATTTGTCAATGGCTGTCTAAATCACTCACTCATTCTGTGAACCTAGTAATTTTTCTGAAGAATTGGTTCTTCCCACCTCTCTTTTCCCAGAGACTTTATGGTCCCTGAAAAGGAAATGAAGACCTCGTTTAGCCTCTCTACTGTGGTTCCAGGAAGATGTTGGTCTTTCTTTTTATTGGATTTTTCCCTTTCCTTTTCCGATTTCCCCAAAGACCCATCAGATGCTCACTGCTTCCTGAGATGTAAAGTGATGCTGTGTTCCTTTGTATGCATGGCCTCCCTTTCTACATCCTTAACATCCTTTCCTTTGTAACAATAAGAAAGTGTCAATAATAATAATAAAAATAAAACCTATGGGCAAATCAGTTGGTGTGTGGAAGCAGCTTCCTTTTTGCTTCATCATTTCTCACTTTCATTCACTCTCTTGTTCCTTATTTACATATTCCCCAAATACCCCAAAGCGCTGTCCTTTGAAGCTTGTTGGAAAAAATAAAAGCAACTAGTATGTTATTGTTTCTCTTAAATGAGGAACATATGTGGTTCCTCGTTGGGAATCCGAGAACTACAAATGGCAGGTATAGAGAAAAGCTGGGGTGTATTAACAAGCACTCTTTGCTCCTTATTTTGCATTATTTTTCTTCGTGGTACTTATTACTACTTGACATTTGTTTATATGTTGTCTTCCCTGGAATGTGAACTCTGATGACAGGGCTGTTCACCGAGTCCCCGGATCCTAGGTTAGCGGTTGGCACAGGGTAGGCAGCTGATAAATACTGTTGAATCAATTGATACTTAAAGTCGGAAACATCATCCTTGGATCACTGTTCCTTCTCTTGGCCGCAGAACAATGCCTACTTCACCAAAGACTTGAACCAATGAGGTAATCCATAGGGTAATTATTAACCGGACTCTTCAAGCAGAGAGGCAGGATACAATAGAGACTAAACGACGTTTAAACAGCTAGCTTTATTTTGGATCTGTTGCTTTGTTTGTTGTAGAATGGCAATAATGGTACCTATTCCTTACTGTTAAGTGGCTAACTGGTAACAGGTAAAGAGCCGAATGTTTGCTGTCATTTTTGTTGACATCACATCTGACTTTGGTAGCATATCAAAGACTGGGTTATCAAATGCTTCATTAAGGAAAAAATTCAAGCTCAACAATGGGGCTGCTGGAGGCGGGGCTAAAGACATTCTGGTCGAATTAACAATATTTATATAATGTTGCCTAACCCTCAAGCCCCACCACTTCTTTAAAACCTGAGGCAGAATCCACTCAGTGGATTTAGAACACCTTCCAGACTCGAATTTCCTGTCCCATAGCCTCAGGGCCCTTGGGGCATCAACTACATCGGCCAACATTTTGGGCAAGGGGTAGGACCCCTACGCGCGGCTCAGACTCATTCCTCCCTTCAACTGAGGTCCCACGTTCTCTAGCTCCAACGCTGACGCACCCGGGTCACCTTGACTACCAGGCCAAGGACCCCGTGGGAACTCTCAGTCCCCGCCACCCTTTTTCCACCGAGCGGTGAGCCTACGGAGGGGTGCCCGGAGAGAAGACCTGCCCGACAACAACCTAAAGGAAGAGGTGAAGTATATGGAGTAGACTAGGGCACGAGAAAATATATAACAGTAGGAGAGGATGCCAGTTTCCTTTATGCCCTTTGTTACTTGCAGTAGCGGAGGAGTTAGAAGTGGCTTTAAAATTTTTTTTCACACAGGCATTTTCTAAAGGCAACCCCGGAGCGCGCAGAACTATGGGATCGTGAAAGGGTCGCCTTCCGGTCCCTTGCGCCTGCGCGCTGGCAGCCGAGAAGGCGGGAGGCCCTGGTAAGAGGGAAGCCGAGAACCGGAAGTGAAGGCAGATTCCCTCCTTCGTCGCTGTTGCCGCCGCCATATGCGCTCGCCTTGCTCAGGTAAGCTTTGGCCTTCTTTATCATCCGCTTCCATCTGCGTTTCTCTGCGGCCATTCTGCCTCGTGGACTCCTGATACCCCTTCCACAGACTATGGTCTGGTCCCTGGGGCCTAGATGGGTCGTTATTTCCATTGCTTGCATCCCTTTTGAGAGCTCTTAAGAGTTCCGGGGGGGGGGCAGGGAAGGTAGGGGGCCCAATCCAAGATGGTGGCCCTAGCGCCATTGTGTTCCTTTTGCTCCCTGCTCCTTCGTTGGGCTCCTCGTTTATCGGATGCCCCAGCGATGGTGAGAGGCGGCGGTAGGTGCTCTTTGTTTCTGGGCATTTGCGGAGGGTGGGGCTCTTTTCACCTTCCTTCTCATCTCTGGGTCCTCTTAATGGCCCAAGGTGGGAATAGGAGGAGGAGCCGCCTTACGGGCCTGGTTGGACTTTTCTTACCTCGATTTACCAGCCTTTGCTTGGAACATTTTCCAAATGTTTATGCGTGATGTCATTGTGTGTTTATAGGAAAGGAGTCTCACCTGAAGAGTAACGAAGGGTGATGAGATCCCTTACTAGAGTTTGTAGTAGAGCTGGAGTGAGAGTTTATCTCGAGTACCTTTTTTCCTATTAATTGTAGCGGAGGGAAGATAGTATTCATCTCCGACCTAGTCATTCCTCTTACTCTACTCTTCTACCCCCCCCCCCCACATTAATTACACAGGGATTTCTTAAGCACCAGAAGGAGGTTACTGAGGAGTGGGACGCGGATGGCAGCCAAATGATGTTTATATTTTGGGAAGTGAGCACTTTGCGCAATGATGACCTTAATCTATCACCCTTGACTGATGGCTGCCTTGTTAGGGGTCAACACTTTGAGATGTAGGGAAAGCAAAAAGTCTTCCTTTGACAGTTTTTCAGGACTTGTCTTTATCTTGTTGTCTCCATTCTCCACTCTCTTGATTCATTTTGCTTTTCATTATCTATTTTCTTCACTGTTGTTACTTAACAGATCAGGAGTTCATATGCTGGTTCTCCCCATCCTGCTTTCTGGTTTATGCTACTCTGATTCTAATCTCTTTGGGAACTTGTGTCTTAACCGCCTCACCTGGGACCACTATATTATGTTTGCTTTTATGTTTTGTGTTCTTGTTATTTTTCTTTCCAGATAAAGGTGTCAGTACAGGGAAAGTGGGAAAAGTGTGGGGATGGAAAAGAGGTGGTGAAGGCTCTGCTCACGACTAATAAGTCTTTTGTTTTTCTTGTTTGTTTTTTTCCTAGCTCTTCTATCAGAAACTAGGTTTTTTGTTTGTTTGTTTTTTTAAACTGTTGCTCAAGCCCCCACTCTCCTCCCTTGTTTTCACTTACTCTGCGTGAACCCTTCCGGAGACTCCTCCCCTTCTCCCCCTGCCGGCCCAGGAATGGCAGAGAACGATGTGGACAATGAGCTCTTGGACTATGAAGAAGATGAGGTGGAGACAGCAGCAGGGGGAGACGGGGCTGAGGCCCCTGCCAAGAAGGATGTCAAGGGCTCCTATGTCTCCATCCACAGCTCTGGCTTTCGTGACTTCCTACTGAAGCCAGAGTTGCTCCGGGCCATTGTTGACTGTGGCTTTGAGCATCCGTCAGAAGGTAAATTTTCTATTGGGCCTAGAGTATTCGTTAGGTTCTTTAAGGGAACAAGAAACAGGTGTGTAAAACAGTTCCTCAGATAATACATATTTATTTAGGGTATATCAGGAAATAAAGTATCAAGAACTATTTTAGCAGTAGGAAAGACTTGTATAGATTGGTTTTTCATTCATGGTAAAATGAAAAAGCTAGTGACCTAAAAGTAGCTGCTGTTAGTTGTTGTGACTGGCTTTTCTCTTTGCCTACTTTTTTCTTTTAAGTTTATTTATTTTGAGAGAGAATGAGCGGGGGAGGGACAAAGCGAGGGGGAGAGAATTTCTCCAAGTTGTCAGTGCAGAGCCCAATGTGGGGCTTGATCCCATGAGATCTCATGAACCGTGAGATCACAACCTGAGCCAAAACCGAGTCAGATGCTTAACGACTGAGCCACACAGGCGTCCGTTTGTCTACTTGTTTTTAATTTTGTTACCTAGGCTTCTAATTTTGAATTTCCAGAGAGGAGCTGGTTGGACCTTTAGTTTCTATTGGGCCAGGCCAACTATGGTCTCTGGAAACCTTTGTGGCTGATCTAAAAAGAGTTGCTTTTGGGTCAGCTACCACACCCTTCATTTGTGTCCAGGGTTACATGGCCTAAAGATGGTAAGCTAAGTAGGAGAAACGGCCTGGGGCAGGCACTCAGATGTCATGGATTGTTACAGACCAAGGGAAATAGGGACAGAGCCAGGAGCACCAAAGGTGAAGTCTTGGTGGGTGGAAGAGGCCAGGCACTGGAGTTGGAGGAGGCCAAACCCGGGAGGAACTAGGAAGGTCTGCTTTTGGGATGAATTTGATGGAGGGAGCAGAAAGGTAGAAAGGGTCTGGAAGTTGATGAGAACCATTTAAGAATTGAGTGGTGAGAAATGGGTTTGGAATCGTGAAAAAGGTTGTGGAGTTACTGAAGACTGAAGTGTAATTTATCTCTCCCCCCATCCCTCCTTCTAGTCCAGCATGAGTGCATTCCTCAGGCCATTTTGGGAATGGATGTTCTATGCCAGGCCAAGTCAGGCATGGGAAAGACAGCAGTGTTTGTGCTGGCCACACTGCAACAGCTGGAGCCGGTTACTGGACAGGTACGTTTGGGGAAAGTGCTGTGGAAGACATTTTGGTTAGGAATTTTTGAGAAGGGTGTTTTGCCTCAGCCACAAGCTGCAATCAGAGCCACGGGTGTTTGTTGCAAAGGTGACCTCGGTTACCTTTTTCTGATGGCCATGTGGGATATTGCATAGAAATTATGTGGTTAATGACTTAGATCTCAGAATTGAGTTCATTTATAATCTGTCAAATGTATTTTTGTGACCATCACTTCCCCGAGGAGATAGTAAAGGGATATACTGTTTGTCTCTGTCTGCTCTCCCCACCCCAAGGTGTCTGTGCTGGTGATGTGTCATACTCGGGAGTTGGCTTTTCAGATCAGCAAGGAGTATGAGCGCTTTTCTAAATACATGCCCAATGTCAAGGTAAGCCAGGGTAAAGACACCTGGGAGGATGAGGGTGGGGGGAGTTGTAGGCATTGAAGACTTGTAGGTCAACCGTCTTCATGTCCATAGATGTTAAATTATCTTTATATGAATGTCATTTGCACGTTCTAGGTGGTAAGTTTCTGCAGACCTTGGTATGCAAGGGATTTACAGTTTACGGTTCATTTGAGTACACATTATAATTTCTGAGATGTTTGCTTTACTCTAATTTTGGAGAATCTTTAGTTTGCTTTAGTTTTTAACAGATTGGATATAGCTGTGCAGCAGGAGACTGCATGGTTAGGCTATGAAGGGTGCTCACCATGAGACCTCGCTTTTGTTTAT